TCCTTTTAATCTGGGACTCAAATCTTAAAACATTAATAGAGGACATTGAGATCTTATTTGTTCATTTATTACATTATCCATTCAATTGTTTATACTTAGAAATAAATTATATATATATATATTAAAATTGAAAAATGAGTGATATGTTTTAGGGTAATAAAAGTGGAGTCTCTTATGGAAGTCAATTTGATGCGTATAATTATTGAAGAAATAATGAATTTTAGTTTAGGTGCTAGTTTTGGAAGAATTGCTCCATAAGATAAATAAAGTATAGGATCAAATAATGGAGGAGGCAGTTTTGCTTAAGTTTCTGTTTCATTTTTGGTTTAACCAGATCAATATAGATCATCAGTTGGTTTAGAGGAAGGATAAGTCCCTATTTAAATATATGAATATTAAGAACCTATAAATTAAAAAGGAATATTTTTTAGAAGCAGTGGAGACTTTGAAATGTAATTTGAAGAAATTAGAATGGATAGATTAAATATTGATTAGCAATAGAAAGTTGAAGAAGATGCTTAATAATTGCAAAAAAATAGTTAAAGATCATCAAATGATTTTGAAATGAAAATATGTAATAATCTATATTTATATCTATATCTATTATAGAATCTGCATAATAAATCAGTAACAATTTTAAACCAGAAATTAATTAAAATATTATTGAAGAAAATAAGAATCTCTTTAATGTCAATATATCAAAGAGCATTTATACAAATAAAATAACTTAGTTAGTTGAATAGACCTAATAGAAATTAAATGTATAAAATAGAAATTAATAACATACTCATATATCGTAATCATTTAAATTATATAATATTTTAGAAAAAGTCAATAAAAATTATAAAGAAAATCACCTAATTTATAAAGGGATCATTCAGATTTATCATCAGATTTTAATTAATAAAATAGTAATGATCCTAATTAAGATCCAATTTAATAAAAATTAGCTAAAAATAGAGAATCAGCTAGAAATTCTAGAGCAAGAAAGAAGATTTATTATGAATTATTGGAAGTGAAAGCATAAGAATTATAAATAGAAGTTGATTCATTAAAATAATAGATTTAAAATTAATAAAAATATACAGAAATTTGTAATAAATCTTAAGAAAAAGTATTATATTTAAAAAATAATTAGTTTTAAATGTTTTTAGAATAATAATAATTATTGTTTGATAAATTAGAAACATATTTAATTAAAAATAAAGATAATATAGAAATAGGAATGATTTTGGATGCCTTAAGATATAGAACTAATTCAAATAGTTAAGAAAGAAATGATGCAGCTAGAAACCATTTTGATTAAATGGTAGAAGTTTGTCTTCCAATTCAAACTAGATATTTGATATATGCATTAGAAAAGAACAAAGATTTTTTTGCTTAACAACCAAAGTATTATTATTCAATTTCAATACCAGTGATTATTCTGATTGGATGGTGGATTCTTTTTAAAAGACTGATATTAAACCAGAACAAATTGTAAAAGTTAAGAAGATGAAAACTAAACTATAAAGTGTAAGAAACAATATATCAGAGTATTTATTATTATTATATAACAATATTAGTTCAATACATAAAATAAAAGAATAATTGAAATTAATATAAAGTGAAGCTTTAAAAGTTGATTAAATGTGGGAATAATTGAAAGAATGTCTAACACCATTCTAATTAGGTTCATGTATTTTAGCAATGAGATAAGTAAGTATAATTTTATAAATAAATAAGAATTAATATAGATAAGAATTATAAACTTCATCATTATTTCTGTAACTTAAAAATTCTTAAATGGTATCAATCTTATATTTATAATAATATAGTCAGATGAAGAAGAAGTGTAAGGTAATCATGAATAATTTACTGTTCCTAATAATAGAAAACTAATAAAGAAATCATAGAACTGATATGTTTATATAAATATTGATAATTTTACTAATTAAATAAACTAGTTTTATAAATCAAAATTATTATAATTTTTTATAGTTTTTATCATAATACAATATCTAATCTATTGAATTACTTTTCTAATCCTTGTAAATTATAAAATTATGATATTTGTTCAATGATATTAATGGTTATATACTATATAAATTAAAAATACTTTTTTGTAAACATTTTAAACTAAGTTTATATAGAACAAATTGTTTCAAAATCATCTCTTTGTCTATCCAAAGATGGAACAACTTTTTGGTTTTAGAATAGATTAGAGTGAATTGGAAGAATATTTTGGAGAAAGAACAGGAGATTGATTTGGAGATGATTTTCCATTCTATGAGAAATAATAGATTTGATTTTAATTGCTGAATCTAAGTTGCTTCATCTTTAATCTTAATCTTAATTCTAAATCTCCATTTTCATTGTTATTATTTGGATTTGGACTTTAATCCTCTTAATCAGAATCTGGCAATATCATATCTTCTTAATCTCCCTTTGTTTTTATAATTTTCTGAATCATAATCACTTGCAATGGTATATTGTTCATATGTCACTTGAATTTGATATGTTAAATTAATTATTTATTATAGTCAGCTTATAAATATAGTGTATTAATCTTGTAGGATGAATTGTAATACTACTGAGAATACATGTCTTATATAAGAAAGGATCCAGAGACAGATATATCGTCATTAAAATTAATTTATTTTAATTATATTCGATGGATGTTTCTCTAAAAAATTAAGGCTAGTTTAATTAGATACTAGATAGAATTCGAAACTACTTGAACAGAGTATCTAAACCAGATTAATGTCTTATTTATGAGCATATGAATTTAGATTAGTTAATGATAGCCTTCTTTGAAATATATTTTTAGAAATAATAGGAACATTAGTAATTAAGGTGCAATTAAAAGATTAATTATGTGGGGAATCACATAAATTAATTAGAGTATTAGATAAATCACTTGTAAGACAATATAAGTAGCATACATAAATAGAGGGATAAATTAAATGAAGAGATCATATTAAAAGAAAATGAATTGAATTTTATTGATAAGCAAATGAAATCTATAAAAATTTCAAGTCCTATGACTTAGCAATTTTAAGAATTGATTGAAGGTATAACGATGTGTAAAGAGAAGTGTGATTATTTAGAAGAAGAAAATTAGGATTTCAAAAAAATCTTAATATATGAGAGGAAGAAAAATAATGAATTAAAACAACACTATTAAATTGTAATAAAAATATTATTATAATTATTAGGTAAGAGATAAATATGATTAAAATTTGATTAAATTACAGAATTTAGAGTAGAATGGATTTGAAATCAATTAAAAAATGATGAAGTAATTGAAAATTATAAACGATTTACGTTTTTTCATTAAAAGTCAAAGAAATGATGCTTTTTAATAGATCACTCCAAGAAAGAGAACATTTAATGAACAATTAATAAGTGCTTAATATTCATTGGAAGATACATGTATTAAATAATTATTTTAATGAGTTTATTGAGGAATCATTCAATAATTTTGATTCATTGAAATTAAGTTTATAAATATCAAGTTAATTGATATAGACAGAAAATTAATTGATTGAAAATCTATCATAAGTCATATCCTTAAAAAATACTCTTGCATAAATAAACAATAAAGATTTAAGTGAAAGTGAAAAATCATTTAGTCCAAAATAAAAGAATAATCATAATTCAAATGATAAAATTTTGGTTTCAAGTACATTAAGATATAAAACTCATTAAAATTTAGGATCATCTAAATTTTAAAAAAGATTAATTACAGAATCATCTGAAAATAATAAGGCATTTTCTGAATTAGATGAAGTAGAAGAAGATCTTAATAGTGATCATAAAGCTGTTTTAATGACTGATGGAATGTATATAGAAGAAGAAAGTAAAGAATTTAAATTATATTATTTAGTGACACCTAGATAACCATGGTATTATAGATCAGCATTACCATAATAATTAAGTAATAAAACTGAATCTAAGAATTGGGAATTCGGTAGTGAGAGAAAAAGATTTAAAAGTAAACCATCTTTAGCTTCATTTACATCTAATTCAAGTTGTATGAAAGGATGTACTATGACATTAAAAGAGGAATTTTAGAATATTTAACAATCTTAATAAAGTGAATAAGTAATAGAAGATGATGAATTCAAAGAAAAAGATACTGAAGTCAATAATAGTTATGAAATTGCCTAATTAGTATAATAAGAGTAAATCATTTCAGATTCAACTATATTAATAAATAGAAAACATAGATCTGTTTAATTTGCTGATTTAAATAAAAAAGATAAGTAAATTATATAATTATTAATAAATATAGTAAATATAATGCGATTAAATTTATTGGAGTAACTATATGTTCTATAGGTGTTCTATGTTGGGGTGCTAAGAAATTATATTAAAAGTACTGTTGATTACATTGTTTTTGTATTTCCATTAATGAATCTGAGTTATTATTATAATTCTAAAAATGTAAGATCAATATGATGATGAAAAAGTTAATTTCTAAGACAATTAAAATCATGAAGACTAAGATCAATTTAACTAAATTGATTAGATTCAACATAATTAATTTGATAGTTCTAAAATTATCCATTTATTAGAATAGTTTAAAGAAAAAATAATTAATAAGTTAAATATAATTGCAATAATGTTGCTGATCAATAGAAATAAATAGAAGATTAAATTTAGCAAGATCTAAGAGAAAAACACAAAATGCTTGATGAGTATTCAAAATTTGAAAATGAACAATAAATTTTGAAATTAAGTATGCATTTATGAAGAATTTCTTAACTTATTAAAAAAGACTTTGAAATTAGAATTCTATTCAAATCTTAACTTTAATGTCTAATTATGATTTGTTGCTGAATTATATCAATTATTATCCACTCATTATGAAGAATTATTATAAATTAATGAATAAATTGTTGTCTATCGAAGACTAATTAAATATTTATTGAATTTATTACAACATAAGAAAAAAAAGGTTATCAAAATAAAAAGATAAATTGCCATTATTTAAATAAAATAAGACAAAAATTATAATGCTTAAGCTGAACTCTATTAAACTCAAGATTTTGGAATCATATTTTATGAGGAGGTAAATGTTTTAAAAGGCTAAAACTGAAAAGATTATAGGTAATTTAAATATAATTATAAAACGAATTATTTGATTATAAATTTAAGATTTAGAGATGACTTGAAATATTTCTAAAAAAAATTAAAAAATTTTAGAATATAATGTAAGAAATTATCAATCTCTTTATTATTTAAAAATTATATTAATTCTATCTTCTCTATTTGTTTAAACATTTTTAGAATAATAACTTTAATGAAATTTATAAATACTTATAAATTTTATATATTTAAATAATTAATTATAAAATTTATAATTCCTTATTTCTAATTCTTTCATAATTTGTTATTTAAATGTATGTAGGTATTTAACTAAATTAATAATTAAATGAGACGAATAACAATGAAAGGAACATAAACAGAAAGAATATAAATCAGATAGAGTTTTAGTATTGATATCATTGTTAAATAAATATTCTCAAAAGCTGAATATTTTACTCAAAGATATATTTTTAGTCATCCTAACCAAAGGAATTTTGTTCATTTAATTAGATCAATTTATAGACTTCTCTTAATCCCAGATAATTGGATAAAATAGATTCAATTATCTCATAAAGCCTTACTTTATTTAATTGTTCATTTGAAATTTGCTTAAAAGGGAATCCATCCATTATAAGAATATGCATATGAAAAACTCTAGATAATTTTGTAATATAATTAATGAGTTTTTAAAAACATATCTATTAACAAACTTATCTTAAAAATCTTAATTTATTTAATTAAATCTCTTTAAAATGATATCAATTAATTGAATATTGTTTCTGATTATTTCCGGATATTATATTTTTGTGAATGAGTTCTAGAGTCATAAAATATTATCTATAGACTTATTAAATTGAGATATTTATATTTTTTATAGATGATGATTATTACTTACATATAGAGAATTTTAATTCTCATGATCTAATAATAAATATTATTAATTAATGAATTTGTTATTTATTGTTTGATCCATAATTTTATAATATTTTTTAGTTTATATAAAATTAATAATCTAAATTATTGACTTAACATATGAAAGTTTATTAATTTTAATTAGAGTTATCTATTAATATTTGAGATTCTTTTTTAAATTAATTATGATTTCATAACTAATATTTAAAGATAATTTCCTAAATATAACAACCATTTATTTTAGCTAAATATAGTATTATCTAAGTATATAATTAATATTAAATTATCATTAATTTGAATTTGTGAATTAAAAAATAAATTTATATAGAATAATAAGAAGTATAAATATTTATCATTAATTATCAAATCAAAATTGTAAAATTCAACTAACTACTAAAGTGCTACTTGTACTTTTTGTATTTTTTAATTAAGTTTAGATATTTTAATCATAACTATATCCATAAAATAAATCTAAGTAATTGATATATCTTACTTTATACAGAATTCTTTTTTAATAACAATCTATTTTCTACAATTTATTCATCCTATGTATCATTATCTTCACTAATATTATTTATATAATCTAAATTCTCTTAAATTGGCTAAAAAATTATAAAAATTAAATATTACTGGAGGTATAAAAGGTGATTATATCTCTTTGTTTAGTAATTTTGTCCAAGGAAAACTTTATAACCAGGGATGTTATTTAACTTCATGAGGTCCATTAAATCCAAGTCTATTATTAGGTTTTCGTTATATTAATTTATTTATGAAATCAGCAGCATCAATTGACCAATCATCTGGTAATTCACTTCTTTTCACTTAAATTTATCTTGTTAGAACTTAATCTCGAATCTCTTATCTCGTTCTTCCATTATATGGTCTTCTCCCCAACATAAATTCATATGTCATAACTCCCAAAGCAAAGTAATCAACAGCAATAGTATGATTTTATCTACACATAACTTCTGGTGCTAGATTTATAATTATTAATTAATAATACCCATATATCCAGGTGTACCACTTGTATCTTAAGAATTTTCAGGCTTCCAAATCCTGGCTATTCCTAAATCAGTTAATCTAGCATAACCATTATAATCAAGTACTATATTTTCTGGTTTTACATCTCTATGAATAACATTTGAAGTGTGTAGATATTCTAATGCTAAAATAACACAAGCTACAAAAAATTTAGTTTAATGTTCTTTAAATCTTCTCATACGTCCTATATGATATCTGAGATCACCACCAGTTAAAAGATCCATTACTAGATATAAGTTATCTCTATCTTAAAAACAATAGTTCATATTAATTAAAAAAGGGTGTTTGAATTATGCTAATAAATTTCTTTCATTCATAACAGAATTTACACTTCTTTTTGCTATTATTTTAGCCTTAGACATTTCTTTCATTGCATATTAAGTTCTATTCTTTTTTAATTCAACTTTCCATACTCTTCCAAATCCTCCCTTACCTATTACAAAGTGAAAAGTAAAACTAGACTTAGTTACACAAATTTATGTATCAATCTATAATTCTTCATCTTCTTATTCTTCTTTATATACTTTTTTGATTGGTGGACGTTACTGAGATTATTATTGAATAGAATCATATTTCACTAATAAAGAATTAAAGATGCTCTCAAAATTTTAAATATTTGGTTTTATTTTTGTACTAGAACTAACCTAAGGTATTTTTATATGTGGAACTTCATTTATATTAATTTTTAGGTGAGCACTAGCAAATTTATTATGATTTGATAATTTTTGAGAATTTTATCGATTGAGATTCAAAGAGTCTTCATTTTCAAATATCTTTTTTGAATCTATTGTAGATTATTTTGGTGATTTTTGAATTGATAATTACATAGGACTTTTTGATCTTGATCTATTACTATCTTTACTAAAAAAACTTTGTTAAGGATTTTTATATGGTAATGCATATTCATTAACATTCACTTATCCAATCCTTATTTTATTTGGTGTATGTACAGGAGTATGATTTCTTTGTTATTTATCTTCAGCGTTCTTTTTTTATGCATATTGTATAAAGTTACCAACAGCTATAGGAGACTTACCAATTCGTAATCTATCAGAAGGAAGATTGGAAAAAGGTTTAGAGAATTTTGAAGAAAAGAGTTCTCGTAGATTACGATGGTGGTTAGACATATTTAATTATTTTTAATACATCTCCTTAAATTCATATTATTAAAAGAAATTTAAATATCTTTATGACTAATTCAATCATTCCTCTTAATATTTTTATCAATTTGACTATCAATCACTAACATAGATTTATCCTCTATACATTCTTGATGATTCTTTAAAGTAAAACTTACTATTAATTCATCTTATGTATATCCTATTGTTTATAATTCATGTGTAATTTTTATTAATTTTTCCATACTTGGAAAATTTGTTATATTTCCTTCATTGGCTTTCATTTTTAATGCTAATTTTTTATCTTTCAATGATGAATTTATTTAAATATCAAGAAAATTCAAACATTTATATCGAATAGTCTATTTTCTCTATTACTTAATCTAAACTTTATTATTTCTCTCTAATAAATGTTATTCTATAATTGGATTTTCTTGTAATTAAAATAAAGCAAATTAAACAGCCTTCTATTAAAGAAATTCTTAATCATATCTTTCTCCTGTTGTAATGAATAAATTATAATCCTCAACTAATTCTGGGTAATTTACTTCCATGTAATTTTTATCTTCCAATACTTAATTGTTACCATATGAAACTAGATAAGTATTTGTATTATCATCATTTTCCTTTATAATTCTGTTCGGTGTTCGAGCATCAACTATAAATGGATTACTTTTTTATCTTTTATGAGCCATATGAGTATTCAATAATAACTTATTTAATGGATTCATAAATATTAGTGTCTTTGCTAAAGTATTTGCTATTATTCAAAATTCATTCCAAAAATTTTACCAAATACATTTATCAAATTAACAATTTTCACTGCTATAAAATTTCTAATTAACATCCACAAAATCTTAACAAACCTTACTCTTTCATTCATTTTTGAGATATTTTGTGATTATAACTATTATGATCAATACCTTATAGATTTTCTAAATAATAATAATAATTTATATTTTAGAAATAGAAATTAATATATCACAAAAATTAGAATAATTAACATTTAACACTTTTATTTTAATTATGAGACTATTAGAATGGGTCTTAATTATATTTTATCTTTTTTACTAATAAAAATTACATCCTTAAATTAAATAGTTTCATTCCTCTTTAATTTATTATAATTAATTTTAATTTATTCAGAATGGATTTTAATTATAATTAGATAACTAAGGTTATTTATAATCATTTCTAGATTCTTATAGCTAAATTTAATTCACTCAATATAATGGAATGATAACGATAACCTTCTTTTAATTAATATTGTTTTCCAATTAAATTTAAAAGTAAAATAAATCACTCAAAATAAAATTAAACTAATTCAAAATATAAGATTGAATCATTTTAGTTGTTACAAGAATTTAATTTAAAAGAAACCATAAATTTTGTAATTAATATAAAATATATCTAAAAATTTTACTATTACTAAACTCATAAATACATTATAAATTTTTATTATAATATAAATTAGAAATATATTGAGACTTCTAACATAATTTATTACAACTCAATATAAAGATATGTTATAATAAATTAATCTATATTTATAACTCATCTTCTATCTGGTAAAGGTTTTCCAGTTTACCAATTAAAATCTTATTTTGGTTTATTTTGCAAGATAGCTTCAACCTTTTATTCTAATTCTTGATCCCATTTCTTATATAATTCAATTGCCTTCAAAGAATCTTTCACTTATTAAACATTCTTGGCCCCAATTATAGCTGTAGACACATCTTTATTATATAAAACCCAAGCTATAGACAATTATGTTTAAGTATAACCAAGAGATTAAGCTAAATCTCCTAACTTTTTGAGTTTTGTCATAGCATCATCATTACCCACTTTAAATATAACAAAAATATAAAATTACAAAATTATGCAAAAAATACTGCATGAGCTTTATCTTTTGTTAACCATCCATTATCTTTACCAGCTCGACTGTCTTCAGGAATTTGATTATTGTTATATTTACCAGTTAACAA